CCCCACCCCAGGACCCATGAGCTAGACACACCTGATCTTTATGGAGCCTTTGGGCTGTCCTCTTGAGCGCTGGGTGGTCCCAGTGGCACTAGGGAGTGCCCTGGTCCCTCAAGTCTCACCAGCACCCCTTCCATGTCAAGGGATGGGACCCCAAGACAGCCTGGTTTTGGGGGTGCTGCTGGCACTGCCGGAGCACACAGGTCCCTGCTTACTGCATGCAGGGAACCTCCAGTCTCCCATGGCCCCCTGTGTGGCACCAAGCTGTTGGGGGGCCCTTGGACACAAGCAGGTTTGAGATCCTCTCTATCTCTCTTTGTAGGACAAATGAACTATAATGAGGGGTACCCCCTCCCTCATGCTTAGAGACCCTATAGAGCAAGAGAGAACTGCCCTTGTGAGTTTCACTGTCACTGTTTGAGGGAGTAAAAGGTCCTGTCTTTCTCCTGCTGAGCGCCTGGTGGTTTCAAACTGCCCACCTTGCAGACCACTACACCACCAGGGCTCCTCTGTGAGGGACACCGCTGAAGCCAATCCAAGCTCTGCAGTCAGGCCCAAATATCCACCAGGTGCACACCTCTGAAAAACCCAGGTCAGGGACCTCTCAACCAGCCACTGAAGGGCCAGTCCCAGACGCAAGCCCCTGGCTGCTGGCCTGGAGCCTTCTGCATTCACATCAACCCACAGGCTGTGGAACAGAGACAAAGCATCCCGAAGTTCTCTTTAGCCTTTGGGGGACCTCCTGTAGTGTTTAGTGCCAGGCTTAGTGCTGGGTGAGATCTCCCTGACCTTTAACCTGAATCTTCCACTGCACAGAGAGGCACCCGGAATGTGGGAGTACCCCCCACTCCACCCCCAGGGCGCAGGACAGGGGTCTGCGGGGCTGCGATCACCTCCGGCCAATTTGCACAGGGGCAGGAGGTGCCCAGAGCCAATCAGGTTGGAAGAATTAAAGGCAACAATTCCGTTTAAACACAGCCAAGGTCTAAGGTCGGCTGCCCTTTGGAGGCTTTGTCCTTCAGAATTTTATTTTTAAGATCACTTTATTAAGTCAATGTCTAAACATCAGGACATTTTTAGGAAAAAAGTCATCATAATTCTAGGTTCGGCAAAACCCAGATAAGACCAACACCACACCAATATGAAAATGTTCAAGAGGAGAAATTGCATGCATGCATCCTGCACAGTGTACACACAGACAAAACACAAAATGATTTGGTGTGGTGGGGAAAATCATGACTACAATGAACTCATTTTTATCGCCAAAGAATTACTAAGGGCTTATAAAACAGAAGCCCTCTACCATCGCAGGAAACGTATACCCAGCGTGTCCAGTATGCCCAAATGCAGGTTGGTGATGTATTTCACCTGAAAATAAGTGATTCATTGGAAAAGCCAATCATCACCCCCAAAAAACACAACTTCCAGATAACACATAAATCACATTCACTGCCATTGAATAGATGCTGGCTCCAACCGACCCTGTCGGGACAGGGTAGAACTGCCTGTGAGGTTCTGAAATGGATTGTGGTGATGATTGCACAACTCTTTTTAATATGACTGAACGATTAAATTGTATGATCCTTGAAGTATATGCCAATGTATTAGTCTA